TGGTGATTTACAATATATATTTGGCCTTCTGGACTAACACATACAATTATCAGGTTTACTTCCTCAAGAAACAATTTATGATTACTCCCAGCTTCTCCATATTATAACATTCATCCTGGGTGAAGACCCTGTAACATTTGCATCCATGATTTTACCTCCCAATTATGAGCTGGTGACTCATAGATCTCTATTTCTAGCCTAGACTCTCGAATTCTAGGTTCATGTATATTTTCATTTGGATATTATGCTGGCATCTCACATTTAGCAGATGACAAAATGTATTTCATCTTTATTTTCCAAACAAATTATTCATTCTGTATTCCCCATCTCGGTGAATGCATCATAATATGTACACATTGTGCTGAAAAAGTTTTCTAGACGCTTTTAAATACCTCCTCTCCCCTTCCCCATCTAAATATTACAAAGTCTTACCATTTTTACCTTCTGAATTTTCTTGGATCCATCCTGCTACTACCTAGCAATAGTGTTCAGTGTTCAGGCACTTACTGTCTCTTGCCTGGATTATTGCCTACTCTCCTGAATGCAGTTCCATTCTCTCTAATCAACTGAAAGTTCACTGCTGGAGTGATCTTTGAAAATACACATCTGAGCTTGTTGCTCTTGCAGTTCTTTAGCGTGGCATGGGAGGAATCTCCCGCTTACCTTTCTAGCTGGATTCACCACCATTCCTGCTCAGGTTTCCTGTACTTGTCATGACACCTACAGTCGCCTGCATGCTCCTTGCTCTCTAATGCCTCAGGCCTTTGTACATGCTGTTTTCTTTACCCGTTGTTCTGTTCTACACATTGATAACTTCTACTTACTGTTTACAAGTTACCTCTGATAAATTTTCTTCGATCCCCTCAAGCTGAGGGACTTTCCTCTATGCTATGAATAACTCTATTTTAGCTCCCAAATAAATTTGTCTCCCCTTCTGATCTATAAATTCTTTATCTTTGCATTCTTTTTTTTTTTTTAAAGATTTATTTATTTATTTTAGAGAGAGAGAGAGAGTGTGCATGAACAGGGGGAGGGGCACAGAGAGAATCTCAAGCAGGGTCCTGGCTGTGTGGAGCTGACAACAGGGCTCTATCTCATGACCCTGAGGTCACAACCTGGGCTGAAACCAAGTCAGACGCTGAACGGACTGAGCCACCCAGGTGCCCTTTTATCTTTGCATTCTTAACATTAGTACACTGCCTTATCTATAGAGGGGCTCAACAATATTTATTGAATGAATGGTTGAATTAATTAACTGATAGCTTAGAGCCCTCCATTTTTATACTTTGTGATCTTTAAAATCCCTAAATATATTTTGTTCTCTTGCCAGGGTTAAAACTCATATGTTGCTTCTCTACCCACTTGCACAGACTTGTAAGGTCTTTTTTAATCCCATCTGTGTGTTTCTGCATCAGCTGGAAGCATTTAATGTCTCCTAAACTTGGAAATCTCATGTGAGTTTTTTCTTCTGGAGCAATTTAAAAAAAGATATTAAAAAAGTATCAATTTCCAAGGAGTTGAAGTTTTTAGACTTCTCTGTCCAGAGAAATCCCTAACTGACCCTATCATTTAATTCCTATTTTGACCTGATTTAAAATTTTAGGATAAATCAACAGCCTAGTTGATTTGAACCCATGATATCATCAGTTAAAACAAAATAAAATAACCACAGTCACCACCACAACCTTTGGTTTCAAAGGATGGCATTCATTAGTTCCCCTTTTATCTGTGTGCCTATTTCCTACATTAAATTTATCCTTTGGGATGTCCTTCAGGAGAAATGGTCTTGCCTTCTCAATTTCCTTTACTTAAACTAGTAACGTGCCTCTCTTTCCCCCACCTGCTGCCATAATATGTTATTTTTGTTATATTCACTGACTCTGTCCTTTCTCACAGATTTATCAGCTTGCTTTTTGGGGTATCAGTGGCATTAAGGTTTTGGTAATTGCCTTGGGCAGAGATAAAAAGCATAGGCTCAAAATCCAAAATATATTAGAATTTTTTTAAAAAGATTTTATTTATTTATTTGAGAGAGAGAGTAAACCAGAGCAAGCGAGAGAGAGCATGAGGACTCTGTGATCATGACCTGAGCCGAAAGCAGACGCTTAACTGATTGAGCTATCCAGGAGCCCCTAGAATTTTTTTTTAAATTCCAAAGTTCCTACAGCATTAAAGTTACCACAATTAACAGTGAGATATACATAGCCATCATCAGAGTAAAAGAATTAATACTTTAAACCTTATCTTTCTTTGTAGTAATGTATGTTCACAAAATTTTACCTTTTAGGAACTACCTAAACATTGACCTTGCCATTCTAAATTGAGCAGTATAATGCACAGGTCACTTCAGAGGGTATTATGTAATTAGTTTTGATTATACTCTATTATGCAGAGAATTTTCTTTAGCTCCTTCTGAATATTTATACTTTTTATCATTATACCTTTGAGAAGTGTGCATCCTATCTAAACATTCGATTATTTTTCCTCCAGATCACACTGAGATAAATATAGGTAGTGCTATAAAATTGTGGGAAATATGAAAATCACTAAGAGCATCACAGGACAAAAACAGTACACCAAGTTTGATAAATTTTAGGAAGACTATTTTATGAATATTTTAGGAAGAATAATTCTGTACTCTTTCCATAGTTCTCTACTGTTTTTCAAGTACATTCCATTTCTGATATAGTACTTACTCAATCTCATGAGAGCATTGGGAGAAGTATCATTACTCCATTTTTACAGATGGAAAAACATTCACTGAAAGAGTAGAAGGCTTACCCTGATCACAGTGCTAATGACAGAGCTGGAACTAGAACCTAGACCAGAAATATAAGGGGGAAATCATAGCAAGCCAAGAAAACTACAAAGTGTCATGTCTTGGGTAATTAGTGAGTACAAATAGTGGGTTGACAGCTACTTCTAACCGTCCTCCCTACATCTTGTAAAGAAGTTAATCTCCCCTAAAGCCTGCATGAAGTCACAGACAGCCTTTATTTTCAGAAAGGAAGGAACTAAAAATATAGTAGCACAGCCATTTATTAACCTCAGGCAACATTATCCGGAGGTAGCAGAGTCTTATGAAAAATGCATGGGATTTGCAATCAGAAGACTTAGGTTTAGATCTCAGTTATTTTGCCAGTTTCTTAATCTCCTTACACTAAATACCTATTTAGTTAAAATGGGGCTAATAACACCAGCCTTATTGCCTCAGAGGGTGTTGTGATGATCAATAAGATACTATCTAGAAGCACTTTATAAGCTGTGTCATTGTATAAGTACAAGTCCTTGTCCCTGTATAGTAGCAAATAAAGGAAATCCTTCCTGTGTAGGAAAGACTATAACATAGTTGTTAACATAATGGGTTAGCAGTTGTACTGACTTGGGTTCCCTTCTAACTCTGTAACTTGGCTCGGGAACTTAGTCTTTCTAAACCTCAGTTTTCTTACCTTTAAAATGGAGGGGGGATAATATCTTTCATGAGGTTTTATAAAGATTATATAAGATATTGTATGTGGAATAGCGAAGCTATTGTTCAGCTCTCTTGAATTAGTTTTCTTTAAGATAAACTTTTAATTTATATTAATAATTTTAGATCTCCAGAAAAGTTGTAAAGATAGTACAGAGAATTCTCATTTACCTTTCTTCTGGTTTCCTCTGTTGTTAATATCTTAACATTTACCACTTAATGAACAAACAAGCATTGATGAATTACTATTAACTAAACTTAACTGGTTTTATTTGGACTTCACCAATTTTTCTATGAATGCCTTCTTTCTGTTCCAGGATCCAATCCAGGGTACCACATTGCATTTAGTTGTCATGTCTCCCCTATCTCCTTTGGTCTGTGACAGTTTATCAGTTTCCTTCTTTTTCATGACCTTAACAGTCTTGACGGATATTGTCCAGGTATCATGTAGGATATTTCCCAATCTGGTTTTGCTTGTTGTTTTTCTCATGATTAGATTGGGGTTGTGGACTTCTGGAGAGAATAGCAGAGAGGTGAAGTGCTATTCTTGTCACAATGTGTCAAGAGCTACATGATACCCACGTGACATCACTGATGATGTTAACTTTTATCACTTGGTTAATGTAGTGTTTGCCAGGTTTTTCCATGGTATTTTGAGCTAGTTTTGATCAGTTATCACTTATATCAGACTTTATCTTCCCTGTCTTCCCACTGTTTGGAATGCTTTTCATTTATATTTACTGCAAATGTCATATTCAGAAATATCTTTTCTGACCATCCAAGCTAAAGCAATCTCTATGACATTTCACTTTTGTGTTTTCTTCACAGCATTTATCATTGCCTGAAATTGTCTTGTGTATTTGTTTACCTAGTTTATTGTTTGTTGATAGTCCCCCACCCCCTCAAACAAGAACATAAGCTTCAGGAGAACAGGATCCTTGTAGGATTGTTCACATCTGTACACTTGGCGTCTAGCACAGGGCTAGCATATGCTAAGTGCTCAATAACTGTTTTTTGAATAAATGTCAAAGAAAGAAAGATCCAGTATTAAATTATTAGTAAGTATTTCTCAAAGAGATTGGAAAATAGCTGAATGGTAGGAGGTTCAATTTAATATTCTTAACTGAATAGGTTTAGTTTTAATGAAAAGGTTAAATGCAATCATAAGCATCTATGGAAATAGGTAATCAACATCCTTGTAATTCAGGCTCTATTATAATGTACTTAATAATGTGAACGTCAGAGTATTTTTCTGACTTATAAGCAAGATATGATGGACAAATGTAAGATCTCCTTAGTTATTACACATCTGCACCTTTGTGACCTTTTTTTTGCTAATTGGCTCAGCTTTCCTATTGTAGAACTTTTTAACAGAATCAGAAGGAGTGTAGAAATAATTGATGCCCTTGATTTTAACTTCTTAGCATCTATTATCTTTTCATTTATATTGACAGAAAAATGGAGCTTTTTTGTATAAATCTTTCTTTTATAACTCATAGTAAGAAGGCTCTTTTCTTATGTGTTTCTTTAGGACTTAAAATCTCCAAATCAGAGGGATGAAATCGCAGGGGCCCGGGCCTCACTGAAGGAGAACTCCCCCCTCTTGCATTCAATTTGCTCAGCTTGTTTGGAACATTCTGATGTTGCTTCCCTCAAAGCCAGCAAGGACACAGTTTGTGAAGAAATTCACAATGCCCTCAATGTAATTTCAAATGCTTCACAAGGCAAACAGAATATGCTTGCCCCACCAGAATCTAAGGCAGCAACACTGGGAAGTGCCCTTGATGAGCTTGAGGTAAGTAGAGAGAAAGGTAAAATGTGATTTCCTGTGTCTCAATAGGAAAATAAACAGACGTGGGTTTTCAGATTTTTCAGATCAGAGTTTAGAGTATGAGTAAATAAAAATTCAGTTACTTAATGAGTCTCCATCATTGCCTTGTGCCTTCCAATGAATTGATTAGCGGGAAAATATTCTATCAGTAGACTTCTGGCTCCTTTACATTTCTTCTGAGGAAGTCAGTGAATTTAAAGTGGGATTGTTGATTAGATTGAAATGATGATTTTAGCTTACATCGATCAATTTATGAAATGTAGGATTTATCCATTCCACAAATGTTGTGGAAAATAATCAGACCAGTGAGAAACCAAGTGACACTTGGAGAAGTAGGAGAACTGGGAGAACTCAGGTTTATTTTACACGGGCGGACCCAGATGAGGTCCCTGACCTGTGGAATTCCTTTCTGAAATTCCTGGGAGGTGATCAAACTCCCCTTCCACTCAGAGGAGCAGGACCTGACTAAGAATTGTCATCCCTGGAGGCTTACTGAGTCTGGACGAACTGCCAGGCAAGTTGGTCCACTTCTCCTTGGAGTCCAGCTAGGGCAAGACTGCCTGGAGGGTTGGAACTCTGGGGTGAAGGAGGACCCGGAATACTGTCAGGTGGTGCTCCACTCAGTGGGTTCCGAGTTCCTTCCTGCTCCAGTGCAGTCTGAGCCACCAGTTGGTGGCTCAAGGGGCCAGAACGGTTTGAATCTCGCTGGGGCCTCCAGAAATGTGGAAAATAATGAGACCGGCAAGAAACCAAGTGACACTCAGAGAAGTAGGAGAACTCAGGTTTATTTTATGCCGGTGGACCCAGATGAGCTCCTGCTCAAATTTTGGGCCCTGGGCAGCGGAGTTCCAGGGTTTTTATACGGGGTGCAGGGGGTCAGGTTCTAAGGGCCATGCTGGCTGCTGGTAGGTAGGTTTAAACCGGGGGAATGGGGGCTGCTTTAGGCGGGAACAGTAGTGCCGGGACCCTGTGTCGGGAAGCCTGTTTACAGAAGCAGAAACGGCTGGTTATCTCTTCCTCCCAGTGGGACTTCTGGTTATCTCTAGCTCTTTCTATCTACTGGGGCCTGCTCTCCCTGGGCCTGCTCTGGGTAATTTTCCTCTTCACAAATACTTATCATTGGCTCTGTTTTTTGTGCTTGGGATAAAATTGAGCCCTGCCCCCATGAAGCTTATGTTCTAACAGAGGAATATAGGCAAAAAACAAAAACAATGAACATTGTAGATAAGTAAATTGTATAGAATGTTACATTGAGAAAGCAAGATGACTTGGACGCTTGAAAGAGATTAGATAATTGGGCAGATGGAGATCTAGAATGAAGGTTTGAAAGCATGTCCTGTTGTTTAAGGGATAGCACAGAAGCCAGGATGCCTAAGTGGGGAGAGTAAGGGGATGAGTCAGAGCTGAACTGAGGAGACCCAAAGGGGCCAGGTTATGGAGGATTCTGTGGGCTTTTAGGGGCTCTGGCTTTTACTTCAATTTAAATGGGACCCATTCTTAGGTTTTAAGCAGAGTTATCACACTTGAGTCTTAAAAGGACAATATTGGCTGCCTGTAGAGTATAGACTGAAGGGGAACAAAGGGAGACGCTGAAAAACCAGGCAGAAAGCTATTACAGTAATATAGGTCCCATCCTTATATTTTATGTGCATCATCTCATTCAACCTCACACTTTAGTTTGGACCAGGGTGGCATCAGTGAATATAAAGGCTAAATTTTGGAGGTGAAGCCAACTGGATTTGACAGAACGGATGTGGGATTTGAGAGAAAGGGAGGAGTCATGGCTGATCTTGCAGGCTGGGTCATCCAAAAGCACACACTGAACAGTTTGGGATATAAAGTGTTGTTAGAAATTAATATGTGTGAAGGGAAGAGGGAGGGAGCATGATTGAGCTGAAGAAGTCTACCTGTGAGCCAGACCCACAAAACCTAGACCAGTCAGCAGGGAGCTCTAGAAGGAGGAGTGCCCTCTAGTGTACTTTGTCAGTCAGAAATAGCCAGGCTTTTTTTTGTCTCTGTCAGTCACTGGATGCAGGTCACCCTGCCCTGGGAAGGCTAAGTATGACATCCAGGCACAGGGAAGAGGGAGCAGTCCCTTGCAACTGAGGCAGACCCTGTAGGAAATGACCGCTGCAGGCCATCTGCTGGCCTCACTCCCCACAGCTGAGCAGTAAGTCCTACTTGGAAAGGAAATATGGATAGTACATCTCTGTGTCTACCAGAGATAATGACAAGGTTTTGTGTTTTTGTTTTTTGGGTTTTTTTCTTCTTTAGCAACTGGATGGATAGAGTTTTCATCAACCATGATAGGGAACACTGTGGGTGAAGCCAGTTTTGAGAGGAAGATCAGAAATTCAATTTTCAACATGTTGAGTTAGAGATATTTCTCAGACATTCAAGTTTGATGTCAAAGATAATTAGCTATACAAGTCAGACATGTAGTTGTTTAATGGGAGACAACATAGTGTAGTGCTTAAAGATAAGGGTTTTAGATCTCTTTATGCCAAGGTTCCTATCTCAGCTGTGGCACTTTTTAGGAAAGTTATTTATTTTTTTATTTGTTTATTTATTTTTAAAGATTTTATTTATTTATCTGACAGAGAGAGACACAACGAGAGAGGGAATACAAGCAGGGGGGAGTGGGAGAGGGAGAAGCAGGCTTCCTGTGGAGCAGGGAGCCCGATGTGGGGCTCGATCCCAGGACCTTGGGATCATGACCTGAGCCGAAGGCAGACGCTCAATGACTGAGCCACCCAGGTGCCCCAGGAAAGTTATTTAATTCTCAGTTTTCTCACCTCTAAAATGGGAAGAATAATAGGGCCTACATCATAGTGTTGTCAGAATCAGTGAACTAATAATACAGGTAAAATGCTTAGAACAGTGACTGGCACATAATAAGTGCTCAGTAAATTTTAGCTCTCCTTATCATTAGTGGAAATGACTATTTGGAGGCAAAGTCTTCCCTAATGAAATCAATGCAATTAAAATTACTAAAGTATTACTAGTAACTTAAAAAATAACACATGTAATTCCTGTATTGTTCGTAACATTATTACTTTCATGATAAACTTATGAAAATCTAATTCATTTACATTTAGAGTAACCTTTATGGTTTTCCTTTAGTTACATGTCTTTAAACAGATGTCTTTACTTCTTATCTAACATTAAATTCCTTATTATTGGCACCCATGCAAAAATTTATTAAGTTCCTAATTATTAGCATCTATGTGAAAGTTCTAGAAACTAAATAAGTTAGATGATTAGTGGTGACTCTTGAATGGTACCCATAGTAAGACTGAAAACTCCTTGTGGGCAAGATTGTGTTTCTTAGTAATTTTATACCAGTGATACTAGTGGAATGTTAGGTCTCCCCATACATTGGTATGTATTATTTCTTTTTTTTTTTTTTTAAAGATTTTATTTATTTATTTGATAGAGAGAGACACAGCGAGAGAGGGAACACAAGCAGGGGGAGTGGGAGAGGGAGAAGCAGGCCTCCTGCCAAGCAGGGAGCCCGATGTGGGGCTCGATCCCAGGACCCTGGGATCATGACCTGAGCTGAAGGCAGACACTTAACGACTGAGCCACCCGGGCGCCCCGTATTATTTCTTGATAGCTAAACGTTAACATAAACGTATTTGTATATATGTACAACATAAATGTACAGAATAAAACAAAATAAAACTGAGACTTAGATAAGTTATATAACTTGCTCAAATCGGAAGGCCAGTGAGTGGTAGTTTCCAGGAAGTGATCTAGTCTGGTTCTAGAAGGTATTTCTAAGTTCTGTGCTATACTGAGTTCTCACAGATACAACTTAATGTGCTTGATTTATGCTAAGATTATTAGTCTGTATGAACCATCAGAGAAATTATAAATGTAACCAAGTATCTGGGTCATTTAAGTAGAACTAGTCTATATTTGGAGAGCGGCTAATATGGTGAGGTGAAATTTGTTAAAGTGGACAGACAGGATTGTAGATAGCATTTTTCATAGCACTAAACAGAATTGTGTCAGGGGATAAGATGTCCAGTTTATCCCAGACACTCATTCTATGTTCTTAGGAATATAGAAGAAGACAAATGATTTCCAAATTGTTCCTTTTTTGGGGACTTCTCCTTTCTGACTTTAGTTGAAAGTGGCTGCTACAGGCAAGATAAGGCAGTGGTTAGAGAAAGAGAGAGAGAGAGAGAGAGAGAGAGAGAGTGTGTGTGTGTGTGTGTGTGCGTAGCATTGATGGGAGTGGGAATAGGCATAGTGATGGAGTCTCCCCTTTCTCAAGATAAGTGGCTAACTCACTTCTGAACAAGGCAGGAGGGAGTTGCAAAGATATTTCCCAGAAATCTTAATGCCGTCTTAACCTTTGAAATCAGTTCTCTGTTAAAGCTAAGGATGCTCACACCACTACAAAATGCCTGAATTATATATATATATATAAAATATCTGAGTTACAAATAGCTGCTGAGGCTGTCTGAACTAGATAAAGCAGAATTTATTGAGCATTTAGCTTTTTAAAATGGTTTTGTAAATTAAATGGTTGCATTTTTCTTTATTTATAGGAAGCTGTACTGGTAAAAGATCCAAAATAACCTTTGCTCTGTCTTGCTTCTGCAAATATAATACTATGAAATAAACTGATGTAGTAAATACTCTGTTCGGAGTAAGTCTCATTAAATGTTTATAGTGCGGAAATGTATCAGAGTGCTTATTCAACAACTACCATGCCAAAGCTTTGTTAAATCTTTCATTCTGGTCCACGGCTGGTTGTGGGTATGGAATCTGAGATTTATTGGTAAAGGAGAAAATAGAACTTGAATTATAACACTATAAAAGCTAAATTGATTGATTTATTGGAGAGCCTAAGGTGAATTATAGGGTGTTTCTTTTGCATTTGTGACTGAATGAGAGTTGAGAAGTGTCAAATTATAGATTAACAGAATTTTGAAAATACCTTTAAGCAAGAA